TTCCTGGGCAGTTACCAAATGGAGAAAGGTGGAGCGTCGCTTGTAACTCACAGCCAGCAATCATTCCCCTCTCCAATTACACACGGCATCTCAAGAACTTCAAATGGGACACTGAAAAATCCAAACTTTTTTCACATTTTCAATTCAGAATTCCGTTTCAAGGGCACTGCTGTTGCAAGAGCCTCTTTGCATCATTCGATTAGGTTAGTTCAATTATGCATGGTCGCATTTTGTTGAAGCTTATATCTGAAGTGTTGGTGGTATTTCCATTTTCGTATAGATTTGTTTTTTCCGAGGTGGAGAAATTTGTTTCATGTTTTTACAGTCAGTGCTGATTTGTTTGGGTGTATTCATAATCTATTTCTTGACTTGAGAATTTGAATCAAGTGGGACTATTCTTTGGAAGTGGAAAATTTTACTTCAGATGCATCCTTATACTTAATTGATGCTTTTTTTTCTCATTTGTATATTTCGATTTTTTTTTTCTCTTGAATTGCAAATTGTGTATCAAGGACTGTTGATTAAGAACTATCTTAAAGATTGAATCTTTATTTATTTATTTATATTTTCCTTTTGAAATGGAATTATGTCACACCAATTTCTTTGGAGTTAGTTACTTCGTATATAGCATAGGGAAATTTCTTGATCGTCTTTGTTTAGCATTTAGAAAGGGAGCTAAAAGGAGTTTGATTGATCGAAGACGAGTGGCCGTATCCAAGATGACAGGATATGAAGGGGCATCACTTAAGTCAGAGGGGCTATCTGGAAAAATGATTTTCGAGCCAATTCTTGAGGAGGGAATATTCCGCTTTGATTGTTCTGCAGATGATAGAAATTCTGCATTTCCCAGCATTTCATTTCAGAATCCAAAAGCCAGGGATACACCACTTTCAAATGTCCACCAAGTTCCAGCTTACATTCCCAGTTTCGAATGTGTTTATGGACAGCAAATTGTTAATATAGAGGTAATGGTAATACCGATCATTATGCATTCCCCTTGTTAAGTGTTAGAAAACTCTTTGATTGAATTGGAACTATCTTGCAATTTTGTTTAGTTTCCGCCAAACACCTCCTTTTATGGAACCGGAGAAGTTAGTGGGCAGCTTGAGCGAACAGGGAAGAGGGTGAGCCCATTACTCTGCCGGTTATTAGATTTTATTCTTTTTGTGATCATTTAGGCAGTGTTTGCAATACATAAAAGTGATTTTCAACTTCAGCAGAAAAACAAAAAACCAAAGGATAAATATTGATCAACAGAGATGGGGGATTTTGAATTATGATTCTGCTTAGCAGTCTTTAAATCTCAACTAGTTTTATCTCTTGCTACTGTGAAAATCATATCCAAAAGATGAACAGTCTCACAAACACTCACTTAACACCCCATTTCTACACTATGATGTAAGATTGAAAACGGGATACATCTAAATTCCTTTTGTAATAGATTTTTACTTGGAACACGGATGCTTGGGGCTATGGTCCCGAGACCACTTCCTTGTACCAATCACACCCTTGGGTTCTTGCCGTTTTGCCAAGTGGCGAGGCTTTAGGAGTTCTTGCTGATACAACACGACGGTGTGAGGTACCTGGAGATTTGTATTTATTTATTTATTTGTTTATTTCTTAGTTTGGGTGTTAAAAACTTAGCTGTGTTATTGGTGACATACTGACATGTCATGGTTTGAGCAGATAGATTTGCGGGAAGAATCGCACCTGAAGCTTATTTCCACAGCAGCTTACCCTGTCATTACATTTGGTCCATTTGCTTCACCAACTGATGTTCTCGTATCTTTCTCTAGAGCAGTTGGTAATATAATGTCTTCAATTATGGTGGTTGCGGACTTGCGGTATCTTTGTTTTGTTTTGTTTTTTTGTGTTTTTTTGTGTTTTTTTGTGTTTTTTTTTTTTTTTTTTTAAT